GTATAATTAGGCCATGACTCCACAGGGTAGGGTACCTACCACTGGTTAGGATTTTATTGAAAAGGATTGTGAGAGGCCCTTTTAAGGCCTTTTTGCCATGTTTGAGCAGCTCGCATAAAATGCTATCTACTCCCGGGGCCTTTCCAGTTTTTAAGAGGTCGATAGCAGTTACCGTTTCCTGTTGAGATATTTCATAATCTAGGGGGCCCAAGGCCTCTGATCTTGTTAGTATGTACTCTTCGTTTTGCTGTTTTCGTGCGTTTAACTTTTTAAAGTAACTGTAAAACTTCTCTAAGTCCTCAGATGTATTTTTTTGCATATTTTTTGGATTTGCCCAGGTTGAATAATTTCCTAAGTTGTCTCCACGCAGTTTTACCATTACTGAGATCAATGCATTTAATTATCCGATTATAATGTTGGCGTTTCTTTTTTTTCTGCACAGGTGTTTGAAAGCCTTTTTTTCTTGTGTAGATTTGATCTCAATTCCTCCACGTTCGGGTTTCGTGAGATATGCCTACCCAATGATTTAAGATTCTCTTTTTCTATGTTGCATTGCTCGTCGAACCATGGTTTTTCACTATGCTTCGTCGTGGTGTTAATGAATCTCAAGCCTGCTTGTTTGCATACGTCAATTAAGTTTTGTGTGAATAGATCAGTCATTGTGTCCACGTTATTGTTATTCAGTGCTGTGTTCAGCCTGTTTTTTGTTTCTGTACTTTCTAAGAGTCGGCTTAATTCGTATTTCGCATTATCATCCCAGACTAATTTCTTAAATTCGCTTAACGTGATCTCGTCTGGTTGTTTGCCGGAGCACCTTTTTTTTGTGTTTTAGCATTAATGCGAATGAAAGGGAACAATGGTCCGATAGGTGGGGTTCCAGATCGTTGACAATAAAGTAATTAACATATCTGAGAATTCTACTGGAAATGATAACATAATCTACCACACTGCTCCCATTGTATTTGAAGCATGTTTTTTTCCCTATAAGATCACCTACTACTCTGCCGTTCAGGATCCTAAGACTGAGAGCTGTGCAAAGATCAATCAGAATCCTCCCTCTGCTGTTAGTTGTATTTTCGTCCTGTGAATAGCGATAATTTTCTGTATCTATTTCATAGTCTTCTGGGATTTCAAGAAATTGATTATCGTCGTCATGGACCGCGAATTCTTGCATGCTGCCGGTGCGCGCGTTAAAGTCACCTTGCAAAATTACATCACCTTTGAGTGTAAAATTTACAATTTCGCTTTCAATATCGTCTAAAAGTTCTTGGTCGATTACTTGTGAAGTGTTTGGACTTATGTAGACAGTGCCTAAATAGAGATCCTTGTCCAGATCGAAAAAAGATTTATCTAACTTAAGCCATAGTATATTCTTATTGCGTGAAATTACGAATGAGGTTCCCCCGATAATCGTTTTCCTTATGTATACGGCAATACCGCCTGAGTTACGTTTTCCCTTGCTGTTCTCTCTATGTTTAACATAGTGCCTAAAATCATGAATTTGTAAGTCCGAGTTGCTGTCAGCATGAGTTTCTACTATCCCAAATATATCATGCTTATTTATTATACTTAATACTTCGCTTTGCTGGAATTTATTGCCTAAACTTTTACTATTGAAACCGTTGATATTCCAGCATCCAATTCGCAGACTTAGACCTTCCGGAAAGCGACTGAACACTATTTAACAAATGAAAAGAAGCACTTATCTTGGATGGTGCTTTTTAAAGTAGTCAGCAAGGGCGTTTAGTGCTTGTAAAGGAGGAAACTCCCAATTGTACTGCCTCGAATTCCATCTTCTATTTTGTAACCTTGACGAGTTATACTGCCTCCTGTTAGCTTGTTCCCTGTTGCCCTCTCTTCTTAATCCTAGGCGTGATTTAATGTTCGCTACCAGTCTCTTGGTCCCTATTTTGTTGTTGAGATGCAAATCGTCAAAGAATACTTCAGGATCTATGTTTCCAAAAGTGTCAGCCGTCACCCTTTGGTTATTAATGTAGGTGATGTTATGCTCCGAGCAGATTGCCTCGTAGCAGTAATTAATATCGTCAATTTTTGTGTTGTCTCCCTTGGGAGCATATGTGAGACCAGACAAAGCGATTTGTGCATTCGGCCATCGTCGCTTTAGCGTAATTACGCAGCTTTCCATGTTCATAGCTATGTCGTTTACTCTGAGTTTATCAACATCGTTTGTTCCGGAATGAACAATTATATGATCGTACACATTCCTATCCACCATTGCTTCAATATGCTGTTTCATTTCTCGTGTTCCTCCTGGTACATATTGCTTGTTGACAAATCGTTGCGGACAAAATTTTCTTTGTTGGATTCCTCTTAAGATGGAGTCGCCGATCATGAGTATGGGGCCATTTTGCGCCTCTGGTTGCTTTCTAGTCTCCTTCCGCGCTTCATGGTTATAAAGGCTTTCCTGTTGAACATCAGAACTGTTTGAGTGTTCTCTCGTCATCGCTGCTGTAGCTGTGGATACAGGTTGTGTAGATTGTTCATTAAACACCTGTGTTTGTCTCTCTGGAAACTGAGGGTCAAGTACTGCAAATCTGTTGTGCGTACTCACGGTGAAAGTCTGATCCCTTGGCTCTGCTATGATTTCTTCAGTTGCAGTCCTATGGAGAGTCTGCAAGTCAACGTTGTTTGCTGTAACTTCGGCGAACGTGCGCTCATTAGATTCTGTTTGTGATTGAGAATCTTGGCGACTTGCGTCATGCATATGAGAAATCAATGATTCCTCAGAAACGCAAACTTGGTTTTTTATCTCACCCAGTTGTTGTACAATGTGGTTTACTGAGTCTTCCGTCGACTTGGTTCTGGTTTTTAGAGCTTTTAGTTCGGATAATAACTTAGTGCTCAGATTTGAGATTTGCTTAACAAGTTTTTGTATCTCGTCGCCAAGTTCAATCTTCATCGCATGTATGCTGCTGTCACATGCCAGATTAACCTCTCTGGATTGATTTTTGCATTTTTGTTCCAGATCTTTAAGCTCAATGACCTGCTCGTTGATCCCAATGGAGTTTGTTGTGATGAGGCTCTCAAGTTTCTTATTAAACTCAAGTTGCATTTTCATAAACGATTTGAATTCTTCATAGCGATCGTCATGTGCTGAATTGGGACCCGCCATTGTAGCTGTTTCTGTTTCCCAATTTAAAGCGTTGGGCGTCGGTAGAACATTTTCAGCGTTTCGATCTTCTTCAATGGTTGTATTTAGTTTTTCAACGATGTGCAGTAGCTTTTCGACATAATAATCCTTCGATGCACCTTGTATTTGCAAGGTTTTGGTGCTGGTGTAAAAGTTAACCGTTGCAGATTCAAACTTCAACACCTCAGAGTTAGCATTTGAGTTGATATTCACCAAACTATTCGCATTTCCATCTTCCGGTTCAGAAATCCAAAATTCTTTTAGGCTTGCCAGACTGCCATTCCATTTGAACTGTTTCTTGCTGGGAATAAAACCCAGGTTCGCTGACAATCCAGGCGATGTGGCGCCTCCCGTTGCTGATGTCGCCGCCATTGTCCCCGGGCATGCCCCCGGGCATGCCCCCGGGCATGCCCCCGAACCCCCCTAGCAACCCCCGCCTGCCTCGGTTGGCCGTTTGGTCTGGCTACGGCACTGAAGAAGCACCTGCTCGCAGTGTAATGTAGAGTACCGTCGTTTACTTATTTGAAAAGCTTACTAAGTTTCTCGTTACGATCAAATAACACGCAAATGCAAAGTTTTCGGCTTTGATCATGAATACCTAGTGTCTTTGATGTCATATCTACACTTTCGTACAGTAAGAGAATTTTATGTCTTACTATTTACGGCGAATTGAAATGTAAAAACACCAGCCGTTCTTTTCTGCATAAAGTTTTCCGCACCATTCAAATCTATACGTCAACGTTGTTATTTATTTTTCATTGCTACTCTGAATTCAAACCTTTCCTGTCTTTTCCTGACAGAGTGAACGTGGATGTAAAAAATCCGGTTAGGCGTATTAACAAATAAAACAAAGGGGTAACCAACGCGTTGGTGAGAAAAAAACTGACATTTTACGACGCCACCACTAGCTGGTTTTTCGCGCAAAAACAGCGTCGGGTGTCGTCGCGAATTGTGTTGTCTATGTCCATCCACGTCTCAGTTCTTTTTTTCAGCTCTTTCCGTTTGTTGTTGTGTTTCAGTTGCTACGGCGAAAGATTCAAGTAGAGAAGGCGGCAGGAGTGACCACAGAAGGTGAATATACTCTAATTTAACTTGTTTGATTTAATTCCGAAAGTGCCCCTCTTTCCTCCTCCATTGCTTCCAGTCAGTGGTTGTTTGAAAACAAACTGTGAATGCCACGTCGGAATGGAATAAAACACAAATATTGGGTTTAATCAATTGATAGGATTTAATCAAGCGTCAATTTACCACCCTTTTATTCAAAAGACACAGAAGGTGTTGTCTCGAGTGCTATTCCTTCATCAGAAAGATTCAAGGGAAAATACAAGCAAGAAAAAAATTCGGGTGAATGAAAGCTGTACTTTCAATTGGTACTATTTACTTGGTATGTAGTTCTGATACCCTGGGTGCCAGAGGCTTTTCATGCGCGGTTTTCGGTTTCGTGTAGGTCTTATGAAGTGACCTCTCGTGTCTTCGGCCTGCAGCCGACGAAGCTTCTCATCGCACGCGAGAAAAAAACCTCTGGTACCCAGGTTATATTTCTGATCACTCTGTGGATGAAACCCTGTGGTGGGACCATTTCTGCAACAATGACTCGACAGTACTTTTACATGATTCTATTTGTTTCAAAGTTTTTAAAAATAATCTTATTTTATTTGCAATATTAAGTTGGGGAAATGTTGACTAACTTTGCATAATTGTAACCCGTGACTTAGATAAAAATGTATACCTCTATCTTTCCTGTTAACACAACTACCTTATAAAGCAGTTACTGTATCACATTTTAAGGGTTGGTAGACAAGAAAGGACAGACTTAGATGTCCCCTTACAAAGTTCCGGAGCAGAATGCAGTGAGGTCGACGATAATGATGATTTTGACTGGGACGCTGTTAGTGATTCACCAATCAAGTGCTTCCAGTTTACAGAAAATTGTACCAGTGGCGTAGACTTCCAGAATCAGTTTGAACACCTCAAAAGGGAGAAGAGCGGCAGGAGGCGGGGAAATCAAGAGCGACATAGAGGGTCGGATACCCGTAGGGGTTATGGACAGTACGATAACCGTGGGGAGTACGGAAGTTCCGGTGGAGGTTCTAATAAAAAGGGACATTATAGAGGATCGTATAATAAAGTTTACGGACGTGGCCGTAGAAAAAAATATAGTGGGAAGTCAAGGGGATACCGCGGCGGTAAAAAATAACATAGTGATTTGTTCCTTGTTTATATAATCATTCTCCGGTTTGTCAGATTCTCCGTAAAGGTGATATCTCCGTTGTTTGGAGACATAATTGTGAACTGGTTTCCGTTCAGTAAGGTTCAAAATGTTCCTGTTTTACCCAAGCCACTTAGTAAGTGTTTCCTGAGCGGAAAATACCATAATATGCTTCAAACTGTTGTTTGCGTAGGACCTCATGCAAGCCTTACTTTTGCAGTATTTTTTGTTTGTCTGTTTGTTTGTTTTTTGCACAAACTGCACGTACAGTGTATGTAAATTTCCAAGGGGTTGATGCATTGCAGGAGCGAATCGTGCAGAGAACAAAACACATTGCAAAAGTGGGGTTTACATGAAGCGCCTCCCAAACGGGAATGTAAAGAATGTAATGGTATTTTCCGCTTTGGTCCACTGCACAAAAGGACTGTCATGTTTTAGGGAACAAATTGTAACCCAGTTTCCTGAACAACCTTCGTTCCCACAGTGCAGTTTTCAACAACATCAACTCAGTCTCGCGCAATTTCGTGCTAACGTCATAATGGCCAGTAGACCTCTTTAGCATGTTTGTTTTCTTTTTCCAATCATAGTTATGAACGTTGAATGGTTATGAAACCCGTTAGACTCCTTTGTTATATGTTTTTGTTAGCTTTTTTGGACCTGACCGTACACAACGTTCAATAGCATTCTAATCATTTTGAACTTACTGACCAAGAGAAACATCGCATTCATTTATTCAGTCACAATCTGTGAACAAAAAACAAAGGATTGTGTGCGGTCAGAGAGCTTCCCTGAACATAAACTACAACACCGTTGTTTTCAACTTTGATGTTTGCCGGCTTTCCTAACCAGTCACCTCTACTAATTATGTTCCAGTGTAGGTCGTGTAATAATACTCCAGGGAACTGTTTCTTTTAAATTTTTGCTGAAAAACAATGAAAAAATTCCATCGGGCAAATGCGACAGCTATACGCGCATGTTGCAAATGAATCCACCCTTTGTCAACCCTTTGTCTTATTCAGGTGCTGTATGACCAGCCATGATAGAAAAAAATTCAAGAGTTTTGTGTCAGTGCTTTTAGCCAAGATACACCCAAATAAAGGACAATTTCATTCTTATTTGACCCTGTAGTGCCTGCCATCATAGTGTTTGTTATGAAATGACGGACTCGTTACTGTTTGTAGGCTGAACGTTTGGCGGGTGGAAGAGATGAAAGAAACATGAGGGACCTAACGATCCAACAACGGCGACGTCCATGAAGACGTCGCTGAAAAATAGACTTCGTATCCTTTCAGTTTTTTTTCATGATTTATCCAAGGGGCCCAGTTACTTAAAAAGAAGGGAATTTTGGTTGGAGCTGAAGAGAAGGGACTGCGCCCGAGTTCTGACAGAGATGGTAGAATTTATCGCCTTGCCGTTTCCGTTCCCAAGCAAACTTGAAATTTGGTCAATTCACGTCCTTGTTAAGCAGGGACGGCAAGAAATGTACAAAAAGCGCGATGCACGTGCAGAATATTTGTTTTGTTCTTTAAACCTATTGCTTTTTTGACTTTCACGTTGCCATCGTAGTTTCGTAAGGTCCCTATTGATCTTACACCTGTGAGATCCTGTAGTAGTAGAAGTCGTCATTGTCATATAGCAGGCATTGAGAGGAAAGTCTCCTCATTAGGGAGCTTTAGCAACTACGGCGAGAACGAGTAAAAAGGAATAGGTTTATTAAGCAAAACAACAACTTTGCACGTGGATCACGCTTTTTTGTACATTTCTTTGTCGTCACTTCAAGACGCCACGACATGAAAATACCTAATTTCTCGTTTTCCATTTTACAAAATTTCCAAAAAAAAGGACAACCTCGCAAGGTATACCCAAATTTTCGAAAAAAGTTTCCCGAAGGTTTTCTTTCCATTCATTTTTTTTTTTTGCTCCCGGGATTTCTATGATTTTCCGTTGAATGGTTCGTATTTCGGAAATTAAACAGTTTTCTGGAATTTCTGGAAACTTTTCCGGGAAATTTCTGTACCAATTGCCGCTACTTCTAAATTTTCGAGAGTTTTGGTTAACTAATGATGGAAAGCGTCCAAGGTCTCGAACCCATAAAAAGATGTGTCTTCACGGATATGCACGGGAAGGCTGTTCCAAAATGTAGGGACAGCAGCGGAAAACGATCAAGCGCCTAAGGTTTCAAGTATGCGCTCCTTAGGACGTTCTAAGACAATGCTGTTATTCGATTTTAATGAATATACAGAACAGGAACCATGCTAACTAAATCACTAAAATGTAGCTACAGGTGACATGCCACGTATGGTCTAAGAATATAATAATTAAAAAGGGCCGACCTGTACCTATGCCAAACAAGGTTTGTGATTGGCTGGGAAAACAATAGGGATGGCGACATAACAATGTCCCTATCCCTGAAAACATTAGGTGGTGCAGGTTATAGGAACCAATGAAGTAAGAGGTTTGGATGGGTGCAGGTCAATAGATTACAACGCTTGGTTCGTATTTGTTTACAAGTACGATTATGATCATGATTAAGAAGACGGAAATAAAGATGAATACGCCACTTCAAAATATTTATCCTTACAAGAAAAACACCTGAGATAAGAGCCTTGGTTAAACTACAGTTAAGTAACCACAACTGTCTCATGATCGAGATTGGGAGATACAAAACCAAATATAAAGAATCAATAGAGTTTGTCAGGATTGTGGATGTAATCAAATCAAAGACGAAATTCATTTTCTGTTTCAATTTACTGCTGCAAATGATAAAACAAAATTGAGATAATTTTCCTAGCAAGGCCCAAATACTAAGTAACTACCTGTCAACGTATGGATCATGAATTATTATGAAATCTGCTTCGTATCTTATAAACAAAGAATTAATTAAATTAATATCATCTTGTTTTAAATTCCTATCGATGTAGTTTAAATTCACCTGAGAAGCGAGGATGTTACATTAATGAAAACAAATTTTTGCTACGACTCCTTAAAGCTTAGTGGTCCCTGGTTATGTTTTCAGAGTCTCGACGTTCGATGCTTTCAAAGAAAAATTTGTCTAACCTTTCCTCCAAAAAAAAGACGTTGAATTCTGCTTCATAGAAAAAAAGGGGCAAAAATGCAAATTAAAACACGCAGCTGACAAAAGTTCGCATTGATTATGACATGAGTTTGCCATTTTGCGTGAAAAAATAAATCAAACAATACATTTTACACGTTTAGCCTCGCGGGAACTTTGGTATCAGACGACAGCAAATAACACGAGAGTTGCTGTAGCCAAGTACTTTTTCAAGGGGTTTAATTTTGTGAAACTAGGAACATGTCTAAGAAAAACGCATCGTCATCTATCTTTATTTAGTTCAATGAAGTGATGGATTCTAAGATATTTAAGTGAAGAATGTTTTTCAAAGAGGTCAAGTTTTGTGCCCAATCTTTCTACCTTTAATAAACGTTTTGCATGGGTTTGTTGGCTATATAAGGTGCAAGAAATGTTTTATAGGTAATTTAATTGTCACTTAAGTCCAGATGATCAAGAAAATGCTTAAACTATGACAATGACTTCCATTTTGGTGCTAATATTTCATTTTCACCCTTGTTAATAACATTTCCGTTGTCAAACAACGTACGCAAACAGCATGACATGGAAACCAAAAGCCGCACCCCGGGGCAGTGGTCAAATATTGCTCCTTCGAGTTGTTTTACATAGTGAAGGAGGATCTACTGCTCGTAAGGACTTCGGTATGGAAACGATTTCACTTGCTCATTCTGCGGACAAATTCTGTCACCGCTTTAAGGGTTACCATTACATGTCAACAGCAGGAAACGATCCTTTTAAAACAGGATTCATCATAGACGCCATTCTTAACGTTCCGTTTTGCATTATCACAACACTGGCCAATGTTCTTGTTATAATTTCAATATGGCGGTCGTATCAGCTTCGTACACCCGCGAACATGCTGTTGATTGGATTAGCATTGTCAGATTTAGGCGTTGGTTTGGTCGTACAGCCTTTCTTCATTGCTTATTTGTTATCATTTGCTTTCCACGGTGCCGATAAATTTACTTGTATTTGTGCGGTTGGGTTGAATTTAACTGCTTCTTGTCTTACGTGTGTATCCTTTGGCACGGTAACAGCAATAAGCGTTGAACGCTACCTTTCACTCCACCTTCATCTGCGCTACGATGAGATTTTCACAGTGAAGCGTGTTCGACGTTTTCTCGTCGTTTTGTGGCTTCTAGGTGGCCTTTCCCCTATAATCTTGGTTTTCTTTGTTCCTGAATATAAATCGCATTATTTCGTGGTCGGAATTGCACTTTGTTTGCTGATTTCCACAGTGGCTTACGTAAAGATACACCGCATCGTTCGTTCTCATCTCAGACAAATAGAAGCAAACGACGTAAGGCAAAGGGAGGTCTCTAACAACTTTGATCACCGCAAAAAATCCGCGTATAACATGTTTTTGGTTTATTGTGTGCTTATTTGCTGTTACGCGCCATACTTGGTCTGCCTCGCCTTGGGAAAAATCGCTGGATACACAAACGAGAATTGGACTGCAATTCACTTTGCACTGACAATTGTAAACATAAACTCTACTCTAAATCCAATTATTTATTGTTACCGTATGAGGGATATTCGCAGGGCAATGTTTCATACATTGTATACAACTTTACGATGTAACAAGTAAAGCGGATGGCAAAAGTATCTTTGTTCCCGTTTCCATTAACAATAAACAGGCATTATATATTCTATCAAGAATGTTCTCCCCTGAGTTGTTAGTAACCAAAATTTTGGGCATGTAGAGTACCCTGCGAGCAAGAGGTTTCTTTATGGCATGGCTTTTAGCATTTGCGAACTCTTTCGCGTAAAAAACTGCGGGACTGACAAGCCACGCGAACGACTTTGCAAATGGTAAAGGCCATGCCAGAAAGAAGCACCTGCTCGCAGTGTAATGTAGAGTACCGTCGTTTACTTATTTGAAAAGCTTACTAAGTTTCTCGTTACGATCAAATAACACGCAAATGCAAAGTTTTCGGCTTTGATCATGAATACCTAGTGTCTTTGATGTCATATGTACACTTTCGTCCAGTAAGCGAATTTTATGTCTTACTATTTACTGCGAATTGAAATGTAAAAACACCAGCCGTTCTTTTCTGTATAAAGTTTTCCGCACCCTTCAAATCTATACGTCAACGTTGTTATTTATTTTTCATTGCTACTCTGAATTTAAACCTTTTCTGTCCTTTCCTGACAGAGTGAAAGTGGATGTAAAAAATCCGGTCAGGCGTATTAAAAAATAAAACAAAAGCGTAATCCATGCGTTAGTGAGAAAACATCTGACATTTTACGACGCCACCGCTAGCTGGTTTTTCGCGCAAAAACGGAGTCGGGTGTCGCGAAATGGCGACTTTTTTCTGACTATTCTTACTTATTCTTACTTAAATATTACTTATATCCAGCTGTGCGTTATCAATGCAAATAGGATAACGCGGATAATAATTAACCCTTCTTTTTCTATAGACTACATGAAAATAATGACTGATTAAACGTTTGTCCATGTCAGTTTCTCTTATCTATGTTATGTCTTGTATATATAGTAGTTGAAACTTTTTCCGGTTCAAAAATAGTTCAAAATTTTTAAACTGGTTTGCTCATCTTATTCCAGTTTATTATTTTTTTTAAATCCGTCAGATGTAAAATTTTAAAATCATAACTGAAAAAAGAAATGGCTTCTGATGGCTACTTTTAGAATAAAAACTAGAGTTTGTACAGTCTAAAGGTGATGTTACACGAGACGGTTCGCAACGACGATTTTTAGCGCAACACAGCGTTGCAATATTGTTTCGAATGGCTACAACATTGTTCCAACATTGCAACGCTGTGTTGCGCTAAAAATCGTCGTTGCGAATCGTCCCGTGTAACTTCACCTTTACACAAACCAGAAAATTCTATCTCAAAGAAGGTCAGACTGAAAGAAAATTATTAGGCGTTTTTTCAGAATTTTTTTTCTCTTTCTGAACTTCAGGATATGGGTCTTAGGAATTCAATTCCAAGCTGGAATAATCGCAATGAACATTGAAAAATCGCGAATTCACTTTTTCAGCGGACGTTTTCGTCGTCTCCGGCGCTGTACTCACTCCTCAGATCTTGAATTTATGAAGGGCTGGCGCGAAAAGTTTTTGCTCGCCACTTCATAACAGGATAATGTAGCTTCTGCTAATAAGAGTAACCTTAAAACCAAAGCCGTACGTCAAAACGTACTTTCCGCAAATATAAACAAAGACGCTATGTTTTCCATACAAATCATGTGTTTCGATAAAATTTGCCCTAGGCAAAGTGAGAGGCAACAACCTTTGTATAGTATAAGTCATCGTGTTTGACTAGGGGTTTCTCTTCTTCCTAGTTCAACATCGTCTTTACTGTTTTTCACGCAAGAAAAATGATTACTATCCGTCTTAATTTTTTTCTTTTACTCCAATCTCCCCTCTTCTATAACAATGGAAAGGAATGACGTATAGGTCGATAGGTTAAAAAAATTTTTGTTAATTAAAAAAAAATGGTAATGCTAGCGCTGGCCGTAGATGACGGCTAACAGAAACCAACAGAGCGCATGCGAAAGCGTGTTAGCGTCGATGTGACGTTTATAAACATGCCCAATTAGAACATTGTTTCCAAGTTACAGGTGCGCTCGTATCGTCACATAACCTTCATTATTATAGACAAACTCGATCATCTGGTGCTTTGGATATACCTTTATGTCGCCTGTCAACAGGGCAGCGCTCCTTTGCTTTCAGAGGAGCCAAACTCTGGAACTCCTTGAATGATAACATTAAGTCCTTAAAATGCCCCAGGAATTTTAGACGTCATCTTGCAAATGTTTTATTAAGTTGATATATTATATTATTGATATATATTTTGTAATTATAATGTTATTGTACTTACATTCTCAATTAATTTATATATTTGTATTTTTTTTTTTTTTTATTCTATTGAGCTGAAAAGCCCACTTAGGGAGCATCAATAAAGTGTATGTATGTATGTATGTATGTATTATTTTTTGCATTTAATTGGCCATTTAAGTATCCGAAACCATCACTGAAACTCATGACGAACTTTTAAATTACAAAATCACTAAGCACGGCACACACCAAGGTCTTTCGACAATCAGTAATTCCATGATCTCAACCGAAAGTTCACTCTTCTGTGACCGCTTCAGCAGCTATCGATACGTGAAGACTGCAGGAAATTATCCTTTCAAGACAGCGTTTGTGGTAAACGCCCTTTTGAATGTTCCATTCTGTTTCAACGCTATCCTTACCAAAGCTCTTGGTATCTTGTCAATATGGCCATCCCATACACTTCGCAAGGCACCAACAAACTTGTTGTTGATTGGGCTTGCATTATCGGATTTGGGAGTCGGATTAATCGTTCAGCCGTTCTTTATCGCATTTTTGCTCTCCTTCGCTGAAACTGGAGCAGGTACTTTCACATGTTTGACGTCTGTAGCTGTCAGCGTTTTCGGTTCTGTCTTAACATCCGTCTCATTTGGCACTGTTGTTAGCGTAAGTATAGAGCGGTATATCGCACTTCGTCTTCATCTACGCTACGAGGACGTAGTTAAAGTAAAAAGAGCGCGAAACTTTCTGATAACGCTTTGGCTTATTGGTGGAACATTGCCTTTCATTTGGGTGTGGCTCACTCCAAAATACAGATCCCATTTCTTTTCCACTCGAATACTTCTGTGTCTTGTAATTTCATCCGTGGCTTACATCAAAATTTATTGAATCATTCGTTATCACAGGAGACAAATCATAAGTACTGAAATGAACGCTAGAAACCGTGAGAAGATGACCCAGCGAAAACGAAACACTTTTAACATGCTCGTAGTACATTGTGTTCTTGTTTTGTGTTATCTTCCGTACTCGATCTGCTTGCTTGTTGTCAAATCTTACGACTACACGAATTGCAGCTGGATTGGCATAAACTTTGCTCTTACAGTTGTCAATATTAATTCTTCTGTTAATCCATTTATCTATTGCTATAGAATGCGACAAATTAGGCGAGCCATGATAATGACACTATACAAAATTCTGCTGCAGGCTTCAAAACGCTGAAAGGCTTCTGGCATTTTTTGTTTAGCGTGGGTTTCTAACCATAACTAAATGCACATTTATGCATTTATTTCTGCTCGAATTTACGACCTGCAGATAAGAATGGTAACAGGTAAATAGTAAATTATAGAAAAAGAGAAAACAGAAAAAAATTTAAGTGAAAAATTTATAACGCAGCCCTATTCGATGGTAGATTCTTGGGCTAAATTTATGAAAATTATGGTTATCCGTTACTGTCAATAGCTGTAGTATCTTGTTTATAAAACGGTTCGTAGGTTAAGAGAAATTACAGAGCCATTTGCAAGTTATTGGGGACACGTTGGAAATAATAAAAAAAAGGCCAAGAATGGGGATCATTGCAAAACGGACGATTTTATTTCACTTATGCATGCATGCAGCAATCCGAATGATGCAGCAGTTTGTAGAATTGACTGGCGTCGGATGTCAACATATTCTCGCGACTTTACATTTGTTAGTTTTAGCTTGCTTGTTGTTGTTGTGTTTTTTGGCATAGGAGCGTTTTAAACGGCTAAAGTCTTCCGAAAAGAAAAAAGGTCATGAATACAAAAACAAAACCCAAAACAGAATTGCAGCGGGTATGTTAAAATTGACTTAACTGGCTGATCGATTGTAGATTGGGTGATTAGTCTAGAGTTATGGAAATTTTGTCATTAGCCCTCGAAAAAAATGTTTGTTTATAAAACAGTTGACAGGTTTACATAGAGTCATGCGACATTTTAAGGAAAGGTGGAGTAAAAAGCGAGTCCGAGAATGTCACAGAAGAAGTAAGGCCTGTTTCAAACGTCGTGCTACTGCCGTGAAGCTCGACTGCAGCACGACACTAGCACGACTTGGTTTCTGACGTCGAATTTAATTCAATCGAATAGAACGGCTGTTGCCGAAAACAAATCACAAAAATAAAGAAACGGTTTAGCAAACTCTTATGTGTATTCTAATGTATTTATAATTTATGAATTGAGTTCGGCACGGCGGTAGCACGACGTTTGAAACCAAGTCAGGCTACTGCTGTGTAGCACGGCAAAGCCTACACGGCAGTAGCACGAATTGGTTTCAAACGTCGCGCTACTGCCGTGCTAAAGTCGAATTTAATTCGATCAACTGAGTTCGGCACGGCAGTAGCACGACGTTTGAAACAGGCCTGAGCGACTCAAAGTGACGTCGGAAATTCAGGTTAGGAGATATTACAAAACTGAATTTTAGTTTAATTATGCATGGATGTAGGCATGAGTGTGCAGGTTGTCCATAAATTTTGTTTATTTAGAAAGCATTTAAGCGTCTTACGAAATAGGAGCTTTAGTCACACGGGCACCAAGAAAATACAGCTATTTCGAGAAAGGTTGTCGGAAAAAGTGCACGCGCGACAATCCCGAAAGGTATTGTGGGTGGTTTTGAGTGCACTGTTCTTCAAAGAAATTTGAAAGAATGGTACGGGATGTTTGCGATGTTATGTTTGGGATTGCTAAAGGAAAGCAACAATAGCAGGTTCGACAGCTACAGTCGTTAGGAACAGTGTATTGATCATATCCATTCCGACAACCTTTCTCGAAATGACTGTATAAAGTCCACAGCGACAAACCAATGAGTGGTGCCGGATCTCATAGTTGTAGACCTGGATCAGTACATAAGAGCTAGTTTAATTTTTATTTTCTTATAGCCCCTGTAGAAGGTTTGTTTTTAAACCCAAATATTGGGCAAATTTGTTGAAATATATATTTTTTGTTTTATTCTGTTGTTTACTTCTTCATCGCCTTGCCGTAAGGATCAGTTTGCCGTTTCATATTTTTTAACACCAAGAAAAGCTGAACACTTGAGAATGGCATGAACTTTACTACTCTAACTCTCTGCTTTGACACTGTCAAGTCAGTCTTTAACTTACTTTACATCAAGCTGAATTCGTAGTGATGACTCTGTGGTTCTTGGACGAAACTTATTTGAAATTAACCAGCGGGTGTCAACCTTTTGTCAAAACACTTAATTGAGTCATTTTACCTTGGATTTTTGTTTTGGTAAAGCACGGAAAGAAGTCGACAGCTTACAGGGGCTCCCAACGAGAATATAGTTCAAAATCACTTAAACATAGCATTGTTAAACGTATTTTAGTATTTAAACGGTAGATATAGGCATATTTTTATCCCCTAAAAATTTTTTATCTGTTCGGATTTCCTAGCTGAAAGTCTCGAGATCCGAAAATCATAGGGATCAAAACTTATCTTTTCGAAAATTTCAGCCAGATAAAGGGCTCCCGAAAATTCTAGGTGAGCTTCTTAGGGTAAAAATCCGTTAAAAATGGGGAAGAAGCAAGAAATAGTAAGCAAGAAATTTTACAAAAACTGTTCCGAAAATTCTAGATCCCAAATCGTCTTCCGGACAGATATTTTCCGAAAATTGACGTTGGGTGCCCCTGAGCTTACGCCGTTCTCGCTTTTCCTGGTCTGTCGTTGCCTTTTTGGTTGTCGAGTTGATGACATCAAAGATGACATCTGCCGATAAACTAATTCCATGAAGCAAACTCTGTCCTTTTTTATTTGTTCTTGAAAGCAAGTCTGCACTGGAGAAGTAACCAGCTCTCGAAAGTAAGTTTGCACTGCCTCGTGTGTATCTGAAACTGAGATAATTCCCGAAAAAAATGAGTCTGTTATTTAGAGTAAGAGTGACTATGTAGTTGAAAGTAAGACTGCATTTGAAAATGATTCTGTGTAACAAAGAAGTGAATCAGATTTGCACTTTAAACTGAATCTTTTCTACAGGGTAACTGCCTGCCAGTAAGCTCTCCATTTGGGTGAGTCGCGAGTACTCACGCGAGAGCCGCACGCGAAAAGCGACCCGAATGCGAGACGCGGGCGAGCCCTCGATGCTGCGCCTCTTGCTCGCGCGTTATTCGCGGCTTGCTTCGCGCGGAGAGCGCGCTCGCCAGTTAAGAAAGTAAGTTTAAATAGACTTTTAACCTCGCTTGGTTTGTTACTGATTTCAGGCGATAAACCTACTGTAGAGAATGGTATAAAATAAATCATTTTGTAAAAGACGAAGAAAGTAACATTGTTCGGTACACAATTTGTGGTAGAATAGCTTCCTGACCGTTTGATTACTGGACAACTGAGTCGTGGTTCCATCCAGTTGTCGGAGAAATGATTTAAATCATAGTTATTAAAGTGGAAAGGTTATGAAACCCATTTGACAGCAGGGCCTTTCTTTCAATTGCTTAATTTTGGTGTACTAAAGAAAGATTCTACATGAATCGAGTAAGCATTATTGTTGAGTATACGCTGCAAGTTGCTAGGATACAGTTTCCAACAAGAGAGGATAAAGGGGACAGAGAAGGCATCCCCCATACACACCCTATTCCATAGGTAATTCGTCTCGAGTTATTTTTAGAATCGGGATAAAGTTACCTCGCGCGCTGCGTGGATGTTTCGTGGAGGTTTCGCATGACTAAACGCCGTGGAAAACATGTCGGGCGAAAGGCAATGAAAGCGTAAAGACATCGAGAGCATTTCTGAATATTGAAGCGAAATGAGTCGGCGTTCACCTGGGAAAAGGGAATCGCTGGACTCTTTGACAACCCGTGAAATCAGTTTAACTCGAAGTTATCGTAACCTTAGTTCTTTAATAAAATGAGAAATTTCGCCGGTCTATTGAAACCGGTCGTTTGTACAATAAAGCAAGTAGGACGCCAAGTGTTATTTTTGTTGAATAATAAAAGACTAATAAAAGCATAAATATCAAACCAGAAATTGCTCTCTTCAAACTGTAAATTGTAAATGATCCTGGGAGAATATTCAGGGTGTTAAAGATTTCCCTGCTGTACTGTTAGCTCCATACAAGAGAGGAAGGACGATTCTTTTTTAATTTCCGTTTCGCTGACACAGCTTTAGCAGAAATCTCTCTGTAGTCGTTTTCGTCGACAAAACGAATAGCAATATCGCTCTCCGCGTCTTCCACCATTTTGTTCTGCGTCAATTCGTGAAGGACGCGTGGCTCTGAGCGTGGGTCATCCACGCGGAACACATTCGCGCTATGTAATTGGCTGTTGTCTAATCCCCCTTGAGATATGTGGTGTTAAAAATAACTCGAGACGAATTACCTATGGAATAGGGTGTGTATGGGGGATGCCTTCTCTGTCCCCTTTATCCTCTCTTGGTTTCCAACCCAGGCTTATAGTTCCCAGTACCAGTGCGATTGGTACAGCGGGCTCAGTTATGACCATCGGTTTATCAATAAACGGATGCTCGCACTAGAAAATCAGTTTGACGAGAGAAAACAAGATCGACTAGTCCAAAAGTGGACTCGTAGTGGAGCTTGCTCTGTGAGTGATCCAGGCCTGTTGGCGAAGTTTAAAAACAAATAAATAAGACGTTCGGGCTGCGGCGTCTTAACAGGCTTGACACAATTTAGGCAGAGCCTTCTTTTTTTGACGAAGAATGTTTTACTCGCAGAATGGCGGCGACGGTGGCAGTAAAACAAGAACTGTGACACGAATATTAATTTAATACTGAAGCTTTATTGGCAAACTACCACAAATTAATACAGCTTGCTTCGTTACTTTTATTTCTTCTCAGTATTAACAGCGCATTGCAATAAGATAATTCTGTTCCTTTACTGTTCTATTCCATTTCTACTGTTCTATTATTCTATTTATACTACTACATGAGAAATTTCTGCAATTTGATTGGCTTAGAGCAGTGGTATTTCAGCTTCATTTGAAATACCTAATACTATAAACAAATAATATCATGATTTGTACGTGATATTTGGCAAGAATACCACCCGTGAGATTTCAAAATTGTCTCAACTTTCACTCGCCTATCGGCTCGTGAAATTAAGTATAACAATTTTGAAATATCACTCGTAGTATTTATGCCAAATATCACTACAACTCATGCTATTACCTATACTTATACTGTTCTATTTATTCATCTGACGTAAACATGCATGAG